TTTTCCCCCCACAATATCCCCCACATTCCTACTCCCCCCACACTTCCGCCTCATGTTCTATCCCACCACTATCCCTCCTCACTACTCCCCCAACCATCGCGACTCATGTCTTCCCCACGTGATGCCCATTCAACTACCCCTCACACTATTCTGCCATATTGCATATCTCTCCCCTCCAATTATCCCTTCACAGCTCCCCCGACATCCCACACTTATTAATCCGCCACATGCTATCCCCCTGTTATCTGCCTGGCTGCTCCCTGCTGTCCCCCACAGTATCCCCCACACTATCCCCCTGGCTGCTCTCCACTATCCCCTGCACTGCCTCCGACACTGCCCCCACTGCCCCCGCACTGTCCCTCACTGCCCCCGCACCTGCCCCGCACTTGCCCCATCTGGCCCACACACTGCCCCACGCACTGCCCCCCGCACTGTCCCCCACACTGCTCCACACACTGCTCCCCACACTGCCCCACACTGCCCCCACCTGCCCCCACAACTACCACTTGGCTGCCCTTCCATTATCCCCTGTCCCTGCACTGCTTCCCACACTGTCCCTGCACTGCTCCCTCAACCGCAACTATCAGCTGCCCTCTCTTTGGCCCCCACAAGTTTTCCCATCTCTGAGCACCAACAGATCATGGGCTCAGCCACACACACCTGCCATAAGCAGGAGCCCTGGAACCTGAGAAGGGGTTTCAGGACTGTCCCAGCACCAGCCCCTGCGCCTCCCTTCACCCATCTGGGGAATGGGCTGAAAAGAGCCTCTCACAGGGCTGCTGTGGGGTCTCATAAGGTCATTGAAGCAGACAGCTTGATACAGAGCCTGGTCCACAGCTCAAACCAGGGGTCAGGGTGGTGACGCCTCTACCTGGGACAGAATGGGGTGGGCCAGGGCCAGCCCCTCCCCTCCCCTCCCTGGGGCCTCAGGATTGACCCTGCCTCCTGGACAGGGTCCAACAAATTGAATGGGGGAAGCAGGAAATCAACACCTGCTCAGGCCCGTCCAGAACAGCCTCCGCCTCAGCTTCCCCCTCTGCAGCTGTGTGGGACACAGCAGACAGGAACCTCGTGGCCCAGCCTACCTGAGGATGACGTACATGACGAGGCAGTTCCCCAGGAGCCCCCCGACACACACGGCCAGGTAGAGCCCCACGATGGTGACCTTGAGCCCGAGGGGCAGGAAGGCGCTGTGACTGGCATTGAGCAGCAGATGCGGAGGCAGCAGACTGTGGTTGGGACTGAGGAGGGACAGGTTGCCCTGAAGGTGGCTGCCGTAGATAACCTCCCAGAATGGGGCGGGGAAGAGAGGCTCCATGCCACTGCCCTGCAAATCCACTCAGTGCAGCACCTGGGACAGAGCACAGACAAGTGGCTGCAGTGCCAGACACACGCCCAGCCGAGGCCTCACAACCCAGCACGTGCAGCCCAGCAGGCACGTGGACCCCCACACTGGGCAGGCACAGGCACGGAGGTACACGGGCACACACAGAACACACAGGCACACATGCACAGGCAGGGGCGCATGGAGACACGAGGACACAAAGACACACATGCACCCGCAAGGACACAGTCTCGTTCGGTTTAGAGACTCACATACAGGCTGCCTGGAGGCAGTTACACCCCAGGACACTGTCCACCCGCAGGGACTCATGAACACACAGCCACTGGGATGCAGGGACACACGTCACACACACAGACACACAGAAATGTCCAAACCTGCCCTCATGCACACGCAGGCACAAAAGAGACAGACACACCCAGAAACGCCTGGGACCCAGCCTTCCTCCTGGGAGCACAGCTTCCTCCTGCTCCCCCGCCCTGCTTTGCTGCAGTCTGTCAGCAGGACCCCCACTGGACCTCCAGCTCCCACCCGACCTCCAGCGGCTCAGGTCCTTACCTCTGCAACCTCCTTGGGAGCTGGGACCACCGTGGAGACCCCCACCCTCAGCCAGCCGGCAGTCTGGCACAGGTGCAGAGCAGGGTAGAAGAGGCCCAGCCGCCACTCGCCTCAGTACAGGATCTTCTCAGCAGACGCCAGACCAGACGCAGCAGCAGAGTGAGCCCGGCAGCCTGAAGCAGAGGGGAGGAGGAGGAGGAAGAGGAGGAGGCTGCAGCTCCAGAGGGGGAGGGGCTACGCAGGCTGGAGGAGTGGGGGAGCTGCGGAAAGGTGGGTCACCGTGCCCAGGGCTGCGCCGGCCCCACACTGAAAGGGGACAGACACACAGACAGAGATGAACAAGGAGGCTCGGACCCACAGACCCCAGACAGAGACGCACACACAGCCCAGGATACATGGACAGAGATGCCCACAGGTTCACAGACACAGGAGTAGAGACACAGGACAGAGAGATACACACAAGGACACACAGACTCACACCCAGGGACGGAGTCTCAGGGAGACACACACGGAGACATGTTCACAGACTCGGACACACAGACAGGGGGCCACGACTCACACAGAGACACAGCCTTGGACAGACTGGCCCGGACCCCGCAGTTGGGCTCCCAGCACCCCAAAATGCCCCCACCTGGCCAGCTCTTGGCAGATCAAAGCTTCATTGTAAACACACAGGCAAGATGCTTGGGTCCAGGACACGGCACTGGCCCAGCACCTACTGTGTGCTCCTGGAGCTCAGTCACCCCACTGTACCCGGCCACTGCTAGAGCATGAAGCCTCAGAGGTGTGAGGCCGCCTGTCAGAGTGTCAGAGACAGGGTTGAAACGCCAAGGGCACCTCTGCCACAGCTGGGTCCCAGATCAATGCCTGAGCATCACTCCCTCAGACAGGCCCCTGGCACCCACACAGCTGAACGGTTCCTTTAGAGGTGCCTCCTTCTCAGATCAGGGTCCCATGCCTGATCCACTGAGATGAAAGGTCACAGGTCAAGGCTGTCTGGGTGACCCCTGAGCTGAATCACTAGCTCCCACCCCGTCATGGGGTCGTACTTCCTGCACGAGCTTTGAAGGAGAACCAGACCTGTCCCCACACAGCTCAGACCCTGCTCAGAGCACCTTCTCCAAGAGTGGGGACCTGGTTGCTAGGCAACTGGCAGCAGGGTTGCTAGGATACCGGGCAAATCAGGAGAGGATGGAACAGGCAGATGCCCCAGGACCCAGCATCCCTCGCTGTCCCCCAGGACTTATCCCTGCATCTTCATGGCAACCAAGACTCAGGGACACGTGTGAAGGCACGGGGCACGTCAACAGAGACACTCAAGGGACACATGGGGACACACATTCCTGCAAACACACAAACAGATGCCCAGACAGGCATACGGGTGAACACACAGAGACATGGTTACACACTCAGAAATGCAGACACTCACAGGGATGCACAAACACATCAAACACACGGGCCACACACGTGCAAGATGACGCCAAGGTGCACACAGGCACATGGGTAGACCTAGAGTGTGCATGGACACCTTCGGGAACAGGCAGACACAGGCCAAGGCCCTCCGACACCCAGAGGACCCACACATGCACAAACACGCTCTCCAGGCAAAGCTCAAGGATGAGCCCCCTGACCTCAGGAGCCGAGAGGGGGCAGAAATCCAGGCAGGATTGGACTCCTGCAGTCCCCAGCCCCAGCTGGGCTCACCAAGGTCTGAGCAGGAGACCCTAGACCCTCCTACCCCAGCTTCCTGAGCCTGCCTCCCAGCCTGGGACCCAGCCTGGGCACTGCAGGCACTGAGGGTGGGCAGAGCTGAGGCCTTGTAAGGGAAGGACAAAGGAGCCCCACCTCATGTCCCCCGCCCAGGAACCAGTGTCAGAGGCCAGGGCGGAGCGCGGGACACAGGCACCTCATCCCTGCTACTGCAGACACCTCTCCCTCAGCATGTCTGCCTGCCACCTGGGTCACCCCCAAAACTTCCTCCCTACAGCCAGAGAGGGGGAGGATGAGGGGTTGAGATGGGGAGGAGGAGGAAGGGGAAAGGAGTGGGGAGGAAGTATGGAGAGATCAAGAGGGAGGATGGGTAAGGAAGGAGGGGAGAAGGGGGAGGAAAACACATTGGGGATAGAAGGAGGACAGGAAGAAAGGAGGGGGGATGAGGTCTGACCTAGCTCCCTGACTCCCACCTCTTTTGACCCCAAGCCTTCTCACCCAGCAATAGCAACCAGCCACCTGCACCCCCACCAAGGCAGCTCCCAGCTCTGCCTTGCCTGGCCTTTCAGGAGTCAACAGAGACCTCAACTCCGTTTGTGGGAGCCGTTCAGTGTCCAGCAGAAGGCCGTGGCCTCCCCAGTCCAGGTGTTCACAATCTTATAATGTGTTCCCTTGAACTACCTGTGTGTTCTGTGTCATCCTGCCCTGACATGCTCATAACCACAGAACCCGGGACAGCTCCTTCCTCCCTTGTGCCTGCTGCAAACCACCTGCACAGACCCTGACACCCTGAACAGCCTAGGCCCCCTGCACAAAACCTGCCCCCCACCCACACAGACCCTGGCCCCCTGGTACAGACCCTGCCCCCTGCATTGACCCTGTTCCCCCTGCAAAGATCCTGTCCCCTTGCAAAGACTCTGGCCACTCTGCGCAGACCCTGGCCTCCCTGCACACGTCCTACCCCTTGCGCAGATCCTGACCACACCTGCAAAGATCTAGTCCCCCCGAACTCCGGCACAGACTGTGCCCCCACCCCACACAGATGCTATCCCCCTGCATAGATCTTGGTCCCTCTGTACAGATCCTGCTCTCCCTGGACAGGTCCTGTCTCCCCACTCCCTTGAACAGACACTGACTCCCAATGTAGATCCTACCCACTGCACAGATCCTGGCCCCACTGCAAAGATTCTGCACCCTGCACAGGTTCTGTCACCTCCTAAAAGTCCTCACTGCAGAGACTCTTGCCCCCATGCAGAGATCCTGGCCTCGATGCACAATCCTGGCCCCTTGCATGGATCCTGCCCCACCCCAGCCAGCTGCAGTCCTACCTCCTCCAAGAAGCCCCAGGACCCCCAGCCCTCGGAACTTTCCTAACTTGGCCATGATTCAGTAATACGGCTGCCAGGCTAGGCCTGTGAGCTCTGGTCTCAGCAGGCATCCTCTGAGAGCATGGTCAACGGACCCTGCAGAGACCCGCAGGAGACAGGCGCCTGGCCCCTCACAGGCACAGTCTTAGAGGAAAGGACAGGCCTGGTCACCTGGCCAGGGGAGTGGCCAGGTGTGACACTGACTATGCTCCCTGGGGTTGGCAGGGGTCCAGCCCCAGACCCAGAAAGGCTCCCACAGAGGAGAGCTGGTGGTGCAGATGAAACGGTCCAGGTTTCTCTAGACCCCGAACAGAGTCCTGCCCTCCCCCAACCTGCCAAGGATGGAGTGGTCTCTCCAGAAGGGGGAAGGTAGAATCAGGGTCCTATATGGAACATATACGTCATGCAAGAGATAGCAAGAGACACATGTTATATGAGGGAGCAAGACAACCTCAAACACACATGTCCTAAGCAGACAAAACAACAGGCGAGCATACTAGGGATAGCCCAAGACATGATACGGTGACACATGAATGACAGCACAGAACTTGCGTCCACGAATTACGGTCAAAGCCTGACACAGGCTGCTCTTGGAGCTCCTGGGTATTTGGGCAGGCCTAGGTTCCGGGTGAGATTCACACCTACTCACCAAGCAGATACACACACCTCACCTTCATCCAGTGACTCAGAATCAGACGGCAGCTGGAGCACTGTCCTTCGTCCTCACCACTCCCATCCCCAGGGCAGGCACAGTCTACCCCCTCCTTCCACAGGTTCACCACCCTGGGCTGGCCAAGTACAAGAATCAAAGCAGAGGGTCTGGCAGCCCCACACAGAGCAGCCATCCCGTGGGGAAGCCAGTCACTAGGCCATACATTTGTACTATTTAAAAAGTGAAAGAATTTTAACAATTCTGAGTTTCATCAGAATAAATTACTTTGTCTTTGTGACCTTAACTTTACAAAATTTATATACAATGACAAAAAAATTGAGTTGTAGCTTCTCAATATAATGTTAAACTTTGTAGTCATTAATAAAGCTTACTAATTTGACTTGAAGGTTCATAGTCAGGCCTTGGCAGGAATAAACATGCTTTTAGATCTCAGCATTTCCGTTAGCCCTTGAAAAACACGTGAATCCTGGGGACAGAAACAGATGGGAGGTGTCGGCCTGCTGGGTCCCTCACAGTTCCTGGACCCCAGACACACAGAGAACGCCTCCCTCCCTGAAGAACTGCAAATGTGTGGAGAAACGGCAGGGGTGAGGAATGTGAGCCAGGTAGGTCCCGGGAGAACCTGCTGGGAATTATGGACTAGGGGGTGTCAAGGTTTTCCAGTCCTATTAAAACAGAAGAAGGTTACAAGCCCCTTTGTGCAGAACAGAAGAACATTCCCTTACTCCCAGCATTAACTCCCCCACAAACACCAAGAGCCAGAAAGTGTCCCACCCATGTGTCCCCCTGGCCCAGACCCAGGGAAGCTGAGAGGATGGCCCAGGTCCCTGTCTCAAAGGACTCACCCCTATGGGAGGACAAAGGCTGCCCGGAGGAAGCAGCTGCTGGGTGAGCATCCCTACGCAGTCACTGCTGCTTCCAGAGACCAAGGACCTTCCTCAAGCCAGGCTGGTGCTGCAGCCCAGGCAGGACCCCAAAGGCACCTGCAGGAGGGGAGGGAACAGCACCAGGAAGGGCCTTCTGGGGAGCAGTAAAAGCTTGAGGGCTGGAAGGATGGGCCTAGCCACAGGATGGGGTGCCGGCTCGGGGTCATAGGGCTGAATGTCAAAGTTTACCCTCTTACTGAGAGGTCAGGGCGGTCTCCCAAAAGCAATGGGAACACCCAACAGCCTCCTGCCAAAAGGCCGGAGCCTCAGCTAAGACCCTGCTTCTCAGCTAGGACAGCCCGACTCCCAGACTCCCAGGTTCCCAACTCCCAGCAAGGTGCCCCAGCGGCAGGTCTGTGAATGTAGAGAGAGTACAGACGCCTCATGGAAGTAACAGATATGTAACAGACTGGGCTTTATGCACTAATCTTTGCCTAATTTAAACTGTGGAATAAGCACGTGAAATTAGTAAATTCTAGAACACACTTATGAAGAAATTATAAAATGATTAGTTAATTGAGAATTAGTTACAAAATAAAGGAATGCACAAATAGATTTCCAAAATCTAGTACCTAGGACCCAAGATCCCAAGACACAGGGTTCAGCAAAACCCAGCTCTGGTCCTGGGGGACACCTGGACCCCTGAGACCCCAAACTTGCCCTAGAGGAGGTGAGGGGTCCTGAGTTCTGCCCCATTATCCCTTTCTGTGAACACCAGTGGCTGGGGCCAGGGCCCCCTGGCCATCAGAAAGGAGTGGGCCTGAACCACAAAGGTCTGCTCATGGCCGAGGGCCCCACCCACAAAACTAACCCCAAAGACCCCTCAAGCCAGGAACCTGGGCCCACAACCCCTAGGATGGCGAGTCTGCCGCCGCCTGGAAAGGACGCTCACCCAAGCTGGAGAAGCCGGCTCCATGCCTCTGTGCCCCGTGGCCCCTATGAGGAGCTCGTCCACGCCCAGGCTCTAACTCAGGGCCCTCCGGAGGGGACCCCGCCCCCCGCCACGACCCGACCCGTCCCACCTGGTCGAGGGAGGGGCAGGACTCCGGCTGCTGGGCAACCGCGTCAACAAGCCCCAGAGAGCCTGGGCTACGCGAAGGTTCCACCGACCGGAGAAGGCAGCAAGTAGGAGGTGCGGGGACCAAGAGGTGGGGACTAGGCCTCGGCTGCTGGAGCTAAGGAGGGGCGGCGGCGTTAGCAGCCGCTGGGGCTGGCAGTGGCTCTGCTTCTGGCACAGCGAGCCCGGCCCTGGCTGGACAAGGTGGCAGATGTAGGCTGGAGCCAGGAAGCAAGGAGCCAGCTGGACTTTTGGACCCTCCCTCCTCTGTCACCTGCCCCCTAGGCTCTGCTCCCCACAACCATCTAGGCCCCGAAGGGGAAGAGCCAACTGTCTGGTGGGAGACCCTGACTGTCGGGGACCACAGACGTAGGGGCACAACGAAGGTCCCCCAGGAGTCACCTAGAGGTCTCCATGTGGGGGGTGGTCTCGGCAGTTTCTCAATTCCAACAGCACAGTCTGTAGGGTAGGAAAGATACTTCCTACAACTGAGTTGATCAGAAAGTTCTAGTTGACTGCAGGACTGAGCAGGATCAGCCGATGGCAGAGCTGCTGGGGACGTGCGCTCGGGAGAGGGAGAGCGCCTGGGCAAAGCTCAGAGGCTGGGGGTGCGGGACTCAAAACCCACTGCGGAGAGCCCAGCGGGCGGGAGCTGGGGCGCACGGTGGGGCCCTGCCGAGGGCGGGAGGGCCCCGGTGCCAGCCCCGGTTCCCACGGGACGCCCTCTTCCCTCCGCAGTGCGGGAGGATGCCGCCGCCAGCGAAGGAGGGCGGGCGCAAGGAACCGCGGGAGCGAAGCGGCAAGAGCGCGCCAGGCGCGGCGCGGGGTGAGGGGCGCGCCAAGTGGGCGCCCGCGACAGAGCCCCCCAAGCCGGGCTGGGCCCTGACGCCGCAGGGGCTAGCGGCCATGCTCCCTGCGCAGCGTCACCGCCATCTGCTCTTCGGCGACCTGCTGGACGACGTGGGCGCGGCGGCCTCCACCTTCCCGTGCGGGTCGGTGGAGCCGGGGTACCGCATGCCCGACCCGCGCACGTGGACGCAGTCGCTGGAGCTGCCCGCTGAGCGCCAGAACCGGCTCCTCGGCGTACTCAAGGCGGCGGAGGCCCGCGGGCGAGTCCGCGCCCTGCGGCTGCGCTACACCCGCATGCGGGTGAGGCGAGACGGGGGGCAGGAGTGAGGAGGGGGCGGCCCCGGAGCGTGGACCCGGGCGGGGCGGGGCGGGGCGCGGCGCGCGCTCAGCGACCCCGGGCCGGGCAGGCCGAGGAGATCGCGCTGCTCATCCAGCGGCAGAAGTCCGCGCGCGCCGCCATCCGGCTGGAGCTGTTCCTGCCGCCGCAGCTGAAGCCCACGCGGATCCCGGACCCCCTGGACCGCCAAGAGGTGCCGACAAGCCCCGGTAGGGGCGGGAAGCGGGGAGGGGGCCCCGCCCGCCTCCGCACACGCCGGGCCCCAGCCTCTCTCCCCGGCAGCGGAGGCGCGTGGAGACCATCCTGGAGGAGAACGTGGATGGCAGCATCTTCCCGCGGTGACGGCGACCCAAAGTGTGCGACGCGCCGCAGCCTCCCACATAAAGTTATAATTCTCCGAAGGCGCTCTGGTCTTTCTGCTGCCGCTCCCCAGGACCCCCGAGGGAAGCGGGGAGTATGGACGCTGCCTCTCCCATGCACCTCACAGACATCAGGGTACAGAGAGTGGGGCCTCTCCCAAAAAAGTGGGGAGACGCAAGTGGGTGAGTGTGAAAGTAACAGGTCAGGGACACGCCTACCCCTAATCCCGACCTGCCCCCATTGGCAACCAGGCGTTCTGTAGGTTAATGGGAGGCCCCCAGTCTTGGGGAGGACGGAGAAAGAGCCTGTTTCAGCAAGTCACACCCCCAGAAGCAAAGGTAGCCTCAGCTGCAGTGGTCCCGAGTGCAGGTCATCCCGCCAGGGGGCCGGGGGAGGGCTGTGCTGTGGGCAGCGGAAGTGACCTAAGCTGGCCTTTGAAGAGGCACCAGCTGTGCCCAGAGGACCAAGAGACTGGGAAAGGGGAACCCCTGCTGCCCCCGCAACAAAAATCCACCCCGGTGGCCCTTCCTTTCCATCCTGAAGTAGCCTCCTGTGACAGACACCCTTAATGCCCCAGTGGCCAGACACCCCCACCCCCCACAAACCCCGCACTCATCCCCCCCACAGCACACCCACCCACACACACACCCCATCCCTCCACAACCCACCCCCCCACACCAACCCACATCCCCCCACCACCCCACCCACACACCACACACAACCCCCAACACCCACCCCCACACACACCACCCCACACACCCACCCCCCACAACACCCCCCCCACCACACCCACATCTCCCTACCAACACCACCCCCCCCACCAACCCCACATCCCCCCACACCACCCAACCCACACACCACACCCACGTCCCCACACACACCACCCACAACACACACCCCCCAAACACCAACACCCACCCCCCAACACACACAGCCACCCCCACACACACACCCCACCACAGCACCCCACACCACCCCCACATCCCCCACACACACCCACCCAACAACACCCCACATCCCCCTACCACACCCCCCACACACACACCCCACATCCCCCCCACACACCCACCCCCACAACCCCACGAACAACACAACCCCCCACACACCCACCCCCACACACACACGCCCACACATCCCACCCCTCCGGCGCCACAGCTACACCCACATCCCCTCACACACCCCACCCCCGCCCACACACACCACATCCCCCCACCACCCCCACCCAACCCCCACACACACCACCCCACGTCCCCACACACACCCACCCCCACACCACACCCCCAAACACACACACACCCACCCCCCAACGAAACCACCCCACCACCACACACCCCACACACACACCCCCCACACACCCACCCCCCCAACAACACGGCACATACCCCCACAGACACCCCACACACACACCCCCACAACACACCCCCACACACACCCCCCAACACACACACACACCCCAACACACACACACACCCCACACACACACACCCCCAGCGCACACCCCCAAAAACACACACACACCCACACCACACACCCCCCCACACACACACACACACACACGGAGTAGGAAAGGAAACTACCCCTGTCCCATTCTGACAAACAGGCCCACGACCTACAAAATCCCTGAACTCTGAAAGCCCCGAGGTTTCTGGGCAGACCTTACTTTTCTCCCTGACATGAGCTCTTTGCAGAACCTGGGGCTTCCCTAGGCCCTGCTTCCTTTTCCTCCCTCCCAGCCCCCTGCCCAGCAGGCTGCACAGAAGCGGGAACTACAGGAACTCAGACAAACCCCTCCTCCTGGCAGGGGGCTCCAGCTGACTGCCTGAAGCCAAGAGCAGATCTGGAAGGAGGGGCAGAGGTCAGAACTGGGGTCCAGAAGGGTAGCTCAATGGCAGCCAGTGTCTCTCCCCAACCGTGGCCAGGGAGTGGAGCCCTGTGCACTCGCCCCTCAGCCAGCCCTTCTCCCCAGGCACCGGGCACTTTACTCTTTCTGGGCTGTTGCTGCCCTTGGCCTTGACCCAAGCCCAGACTGTATACACAGCTCAGAAGTCAGCTGACAAGGGGGGGACAGAGAGATGGCAGGAGGGGTTTCAGGAAGGGAAGGATAGAGAGGGAGGCCAGGGAGAAGGGGCTTGAGCAGGGGCAGACAGACAAGGAAGGGAGGCAGTCTCTGTCCAGGAGTGGCAGTCACTCACACCCTGATGTACTTGTGACATGTGATGACAGCCAGCCCTGGTGTCCTCTGCCCAAACTCCCTGCAGCCTGGACCTCAGGATTCTGTGTCTTGGGGATTGACTGAGTACCTAGAATGAGTTCATCTACTGGGACAATCACGTATTATTTCATCATTTCTCTGAGACTCCGTTTCATCTTGAAGAAGGGTCTTGGTGCCCCACAGCAGCAAGTGCTCTGAAGAGGATGGGTCACTCTGCATCAGACAGGCAAGAGGGAAGAGGGGCAGAGACAGGCCCAGCAGGCCCAGCACCCAGAGAAGGCCAGCAAGACAGTGACATCAGTGACTGCACCAGGGTCAGGCTGGCACTCAAGCCCTTTGATCCCCATGGAAAGCGGGGGCTCGATGTGCAAAGGAGGCTGGGGAATGGGGCCCAGGACGTTTCTGCATGGCCTGGAGGGATGCCTGCCTGTAGAAAGCTCTATGGGAAGGAAGGCATGTGGTCCAAAGCCCAATATATTGAGGGCTGTGAGGGGGCAGAGGGTCCTGGGTTCAAATCCCACCTCCACCATCAACTGCCCAGCTCACCTGGCTCCATCCATGGACTTCAGGGATGCTCTGTGCCGAGGGGCAGAAGCCAGGGGAGTGGAGAGCAGGCCCAAGGGGCCAGAGGAGATGGGGGAATGATTGGGGGGTTGTAGAGTGACCCAAGGGGGCAGGGAGGGCACTGACCTTCACCCACTGCCAACTGCCCACACCTGCATTTTCCCACAGCGGAGACAACAGGCGGGCTCAGCGGGGTCAGGTGGTTGTGTGTGGCCTGGACCAGGTGCTGGCCCATCTTCATTGAGCTTCCCTGACCTCACCTGTGCCCACCTCTCAGGAGTGTTATTTGGGCTGAATAAGCAGCAGCCTGCCTCTTGTCCCTATGGACTTCCTGGCCCCTGCCTTTGCTTGCCTGGCCTGATAACATGGCAGTCACAGGGTTCTGCAGTCAAGTTGGCCAGGCCTCTGGGTACAGCTTCGAGAGGCAGTCTGTCCTCCAGGGCCCTCTGACCTCTGACCTCCCCCTTCAGGCCCTCACCCCCCTCAGCAGCGCAACACCCTCCCCTCTCAGCCCTCCCGCCTCTCACTCAGGCCTTCCCTGCCTGCTCCCCACAACTCACTCTACGCCCCTAGCATCAGATCCAAGCCCATCTATGTTGCTGGCTTCTGGTCCCACTGCCTGGCCCACAGGGGCACCCAGATACTGATACTTGTCCATTGAATGAGGAACACAAGTAAAATCTCCCTTTTCACCCCTCAGAGTTCTGTGAAGGTGTAAGGTGTGCACCTGACCTGTGCAATTGGAAGGCATTTGATGAACAGGACCCCGACACTGGGAGCTATCCGGGTCGAGTGCTTGTGCTGGGTAGGGCAGGAGCTGCACGCAGCTGGGCCCGGGGAGGGGCGGGGGGCACAGATGCTCTGCAGACACTTCCGGAGCAGGGTCAGGGCCACCGACACTGGGCCAAAGCATGCTGCGATGAGAAGCCTGACCCACATCTGTACCAAGTCATAAAGGATGAGAAGAGTCAGCCAAAGGGACAGGGCGTTCATGGCAAAGGGGACAGTGTGGCTTTAAGCTGTAGGACATCTTGGGACACACGGGTCAGCAGGGACTCTGCCAGGCCCCGCAGGAGACATGCGGCATGACTCCGGATGCACGAACCCGCACCCCCAGTTCTCCCCAGCCCCGCAGCACAGGAATCTCCCCCTTCCTTGGGAACCCCCCACAGCACGGCAGGCTCTTAACCCAGTTTTACAGACGAAGCTCACGGAGGCGAGGGGTGGGCCGGGCTGGCGTGCCCGCCGATCGGTCCTTTCCAGCAGCCGCCTCTTTCCCAAGCAGGGCAAGCAGCATAGGGGGCCCCGCTCTCCTGCCTCCACACTGGAGTGTCGTACAAGCCCCACACGGACAGCAAGGCAGGAACGGCCCCGCCGAGCAGAGTCGGGGGCCACGGCCACACCCCCATCTACTACCGTGCAGCTCCGTCGGCCCGGGGGCCAGGGCTCCACTGCGAGCACCTCAACCCTCCGGGCCACCCCCAAGCGACTGTGGGGGCCGAGCGCGCGCGGGGCGGGTGGGGTGTGGAGCCGGCCGAGCGCGGGGCGGGGCGGGGCGCGGCGGGCGGGGCGGGCCCGGCGCCTCCCGGCGCGAGGAAGTCCCGGCCCCTGGCTTTGGGGAAGTGCTGCCGAGGCGCCTGCGCACTGAGCCCCCGCGCCCCCTCCCCGACTGTCGGGCCGGACCTTGGAGCGCGCGGGCCGGCGGCGGCGCGAGTGGCTCGGGAGCGCGGCTGGTGAGTGCGCGCGCGCCGCGCCGGGGACAGCGGCCCTGCCCCTCCCGGCCCGGGCCCGGGGACCGTGCGGGGCGGGAGCTTCGGGAGCCGGCGCACGGGACTCGAACCCCAAGGACTCCCGCCGCCAGGTCCACGTGGACCCTGGGCCGCAGTGGAACTGGAGCCCGCCCCCCGCGCTTGGGGGAGGGGGCGCTGCAGCCGGGTTCCCCTTTTTGTGGAGCTCAAAGCCTGGGGAAGTGATTGCTTAAAGGTGGGGGCCGGAAGAACCCAGGTTTCCGCGTCTCCCTCCCCCCCCCCCCCCCCCCCCGGTGAGGAGGGGCCGGGGCGGGACACCCTGTCCGCCCCCGCCCCCACCCCGCTGGATCTGGCAGCCACTCAGCCCTTCGAGCTGTAGGGGAGGCGCTGCGCCCCCGGCCCCAACCGATCGGGGGCTCCTGGCGCTAGCCTCCCTCCAGAGCGCCGCAGGAGTCCCTCCTGCCGTCTGACTTGAGTCCCTGCTGCTGCAGTGCACGCCCCTTCGGCAGCCAGGGTGGGGCCCAGACCCAACCTGGCCCCTCCTGCCCCCACCCCGCCTTTGGGTCGCTGGTGAGTAGGGAGCATTGAGGTAGGGGTGGGGGCGTCAGAGGCTGGAGAAAGAGGCACCTGGAGGAGGACACAGGCTCCTCCAGGCGGGACCCTAACAGCAGCGAGAGGAGCGTGGTGGGTGGGTCACCACCACCATTTCAGACGTGGGGAGAGCTGGCCTTCCTTGGAGGGGCCAGGCCAGGGCTCGTCCACCAGCCAGATGTGGAGGGTGGCAGATGGGAAAGGCCCTGGGTGGGCGCTAAGAACTGAGAATGGAGCCCCTCTTCAACCCCTCCCAAAGGTTATGACATTTTTTTCTGGGATTGTCACATTTTCTTATTCTTTTTTTGGACTGGGCAGGCTCTGGGACGTTCTTTTTCCTTCTGTGGAGCAAAGCAGCAGCCACTCCCAAGGGAGCCTCTATCCCCAGAGACCAGACGTGCCGCCTGTCCAGCCTCTCCCATCCCAGACTTGGGGGCCAAAGCCTGGGAGGCTGGGGAAGGGGGGTCCCCAATCCCAGGATGACAAGCAGGAGGACCCTAGTTGAGACTCCGTATCCTCCAGGAGAGAAGGGGGTGTAGCGTGGGGACATGGGTTGCCCCAGCTGACCTGAGAAGGGTACAGGAAGCCCAGTCCAGGGACAGGTGACCCGGTCCAGGGCCTGAAGCTGGGAAAGAAGGGGCTGGCTCCCTCCTCTGCAGCAAATGCAGCCCCTAGCACCCCGGCCCGGCACCCCTAAACACGTCCCCTCCTCCAGTTCAGAGCTGGGGTGGACATGGTAGCCCAGGAGGGACAGTCTCCGGGGTGCTAGAGTGTGGGGGAGGACCCTGGGTGGGGACAGAGAGGAGGAAGAACTGCTGCCTGGGGAAGTCACGGACAGCCCCGTCTGGGTACAGCTACCAAACCTCAGGTTGCCACGCCCCTTCCTTTCCCTAGAAACTTGACCCCTGAAAGCAAGCCCAGCTGCGGGGCCACCTTCTGTCTCCTCATCTACTTGCTAGGAACCTGTGGGACCCACAGTCTCAGAGGAAGCTGGGCAGGCGGTGAGGGGCCGAGGTCCCGGGAGATGCTGCACCTGCCCCAGACTTGGGCCAGGGCAGTGGCCTCTGCATGCCCAGGCCTCAGGGGTATTGGGGGCCCTGAGAGTGCAGAACTCCAGCACTGTCTCCTCTGAGCGCCATTCACACACCGTCCCAGAAGGCCAAGAGAGACCAACCAGACAGAAACAAGCATTCAGAGGCCACAAGCTAAGGGAGGCGTGGCGGGGGGGGGATGAAGATTGAGAAAATAAAGTAGAACCAAGTTGTGAGCTTCCTGGCCAGGGAGGAGGGTGGTGGACATGCACGGAGGCCCAGAGGGCAGAGGTGGGCGCAGGTGTTCACAACTGCCTCCGGGGCACTGATTGGCCCCCCTGTGCCGTTGCCCAAGGAGACCTGGGGTTCAAAGTGGTATCTTAGGTGGCACGAGGGCCACCCACAGCTTTGGCGCTCCTGGTGCACCTCCCCTGCAGATGGTGCAACCAAACGCTGGGAGGTACACGCACCACACCACACCCCTCAGGGACTCTGAGGCTTTGACTGGGGAGCAGGGTGCCTCCACCCACTGCCACCCCCACTTCCCTGGCTGGCGCACCCTGTGGTACGGCCTTGGTTCCACAGCGGTTTCACAGCCTAGAGGCAGTGGGCAAGGAGGGAGGGAAGTCTTGGGAGGGAGGTAGCAGGACCAAAGAACCATGTTTGGGGGGCACGTCCCTCCTCACCAGGGCCCTGCCCCCCTCCCCACACCCTCAGAAGGTCCAGCCCTGAGTCCCACTTAAAACCTCACTGCGGCAGGTCTAACCTGCTGCCCCTGGCTGAGACCTCTGGGACCCGCAGACAGACCTGGACTCTTGGTGGGAGCCGCTCTGCCCACTCCCCACCCCAGACGCCCTAGAAGCAAGTCTGGCCACCACCCGCACGCACAGTTGGTAGCCCCAGACTCTCGGGGCCCCTTTGGGAGGGGCTGGGAGCCGGAAACTGAGAAAGAGGAACCCAGGCTTCCGGCTTCCCAGGGAGTGAGCGGATGGGGGTGTCTCGGAACCTTCTGTGGGGGCCTCATCTGGGGCCCAGCCTGGGAGGAGGGGCCAGAAGCTGCTGCAGCCCCCTCCTCAATGACCCCAGACCCCCTCCCAGCCCTGCTGTAAGCTTGGGGTTGGGGTAGAAGCCCTGGGCAGAGCCAGGCCCAGAGGCAGGAGCAGGCCCTGCTAGGGAGACACCCTCTCAGGACCCCTCCTAAGGGACAGGCAGGGGCTGGGGTTTCAGGTTCTCAGTCAGAACCTTGGCCCCTCTCCCCAGACCCCCAGGCTGTGGTGAGGGTCTGAGAGCTGGCACCACGGAGCCTGGGCAACCTCCTCCGCCCACCCATGCCCACCCCGCATGAGGCTGAGAAGCAGGTATGCCACCTCCCCTTCTGCCTCTGCTCCCCTGGGGTAGATGGGGTGGGGCAAGCTGAGGGGCCACAAGGAGTTGGGAGATCCCTGAACACCCGGGAGGCCAGAAGGGTCATGTGCCTGGGAACAGGGCCACCCGTGGGAGGGTGGGGGAGAGGTGGAGGGTCTGGTGGGTTCTGACCTGAAGGCTGAGGTAGCCCGATTTTTCCCCAGAACACAGGGCCAGAGGAGGCGGACCGGCCCCCTTCAATGTCCAGTCATGATGCAGCCCCTCCCGCAGCCCCCAGCCGTAACCCCTGCTGCCTATGCTGGTGCTGCTGCTGTAGCTGCTCCTGGTGAGTAGGGCCTGGGGTGCCCAGCTGGAGAGGGGCTGGAGGGCCTGGGGCCAAGCAGACCCAGGAGGGGACCCAGTGGTGGCTTCTGAGGAATCCCCGCAGGTAGGATGCTCCTGCCACCTCGCGGCGTGTCCTGTCTGGGGTCTGTTGGGCCCTGGTGATGAGTGGCCGGTGCCTTGGGCCCAAGGGGCTTATGTGTGGTTCTTGTACCTGTCTTGCCAAGGGTGTGTCGGTGTGCTGTGTACACGCATGTGCCCGTTCACACGGCATGTGCTTATCCATGCTGCTGTGAGCCAGCCCAAGCTGGGCCCTGGGGGCCTGCGATGGAGTAAGACAGGCACAGGCCGGGTGCAGTGGCTCACGCCTGTAATCCCAGCACTTTGGGAGGCCGAGGCAGGCGGATCATCTGAGGTCAGGAGTTCGAAACCAGCCTGACCAACATGGAGAAACCCCGTCTCTACTAAAAATACAAAATTAGCCGGGCGTGGTGACGCATGCCTATAATCCCAGCTACTCGGGAGGCTGAGGCAGGAGAATGGCTTGAACCTGGGAGGTAGAGGTTGCAATGAGCTGAGATCACGCCATTGCATTCCAGCCTGGGCAACAAGAGCAAAACTCTGTCTCAAAATAAAAGAAAGAAAGAGAGAGACAGAGAGAAAGAGAGGCACAGACCCCACAGACTGTGTGGGGTGGAGGGACGTTTGAGCAGAGACCCGAATAAGGCAACTGCTGGCCCTGGGGTGATAGCCAAGAGCTTCCCAGACAGCATGCGTCGGGGGAGAAGAGCACAGGGTGGTGGGGGGGTCTTTGGGCATCCCTGTGAGGGTGGGAGTGGGGCTCCCAGATGGTAACAGATTTCCTAGGAGTGTAGGGGAGCTGGTGCATGTTTTCATGCCTTCCGACCCTGGCCGATGAGAGGACAGCGCTTCTGGACCCAACATGGGGTCAGCTGACCCATGGGCAAGCTGGGGGTGGCCAGGGGGCAGTCGGGAAAGGGGCTGGGAGGAGCCCAGGGGCCTAGTTCCGTCAGGATGTCTGGGTGCATGATGTCTGCCAGCCGTGCCCTGGAGAAAGATCAGCCGGCTATGGATTTGGGTCCAGCATTGACAGGGTACTAGGAGCCAAGGCAAAGAAGCAGTTTCCCTTGAGAGAACCAGGGATCAGGCTCCAGGACCTAACCAGTGTGGACACATGGGTTTGGGGCTTTCAGTGGTGTCAGCTGACGAGACACGCTGCTGACATGCCAGACCTGCAGCGTGTGGCCCCATCAGTGGGACAGGGACAGGCCAAGAACAGGCCGAGGAGCAGGGTGGCCACATTCCCAGGCACATGACCCTTCTGGCATCCCAGGTGTTCAGGCATCTCCCAGCTCCTTGTGGCCCCTCAGCTTGCCCCAACCCATCTCCCCCAGGGGAGCAGAGGCAGAAGGGGAGGTGGCATACCTGCTTCTCAGCCTCATGTGGGGTGGGCATGGGTGGGTGGAGGAGGTTGCCCAGTGGGCCAGGGATGGGGAGGAGCACCAGGAGCCAAAGGGTCCCTCCTGGAGGGCCAGAGACTCACGGGCACTGGGTCAAGGTGCTGGGATGGAAGAGGGCTGAGTCCGTGGGCACTGTGGCAGGGACAGTAACCTGGACTGCAGATTCCGTGGAGAATTCAGGAACGACTGACAGGGAGCATGGACACCCTTTCCCAGGAGATTGTGGGAGGAGCTAGCTGCAGGGGCTGCCCTCCTGCAGTGGGTACACATGTGTCAGATGCCTGCCCATGTGCTGAGGGCCTGTGTGGCCATGGAGGCGTGTGTGGCCATGGAGGCGTGTGTGCCCACGGCAGTGCCGCTTCCTCTCTGCCACTAGGAACCAAGAGCGGCGGCGCGCATGGCAGGCCTCCCGGGAGAGCAAGCTGCAGCCCCTCCCCAGCTGTGAAGTATGGTGAGTCCAGCAGGCTGGTGTGTGCATGTTGGGGGGCCCCAGGCCGGGAGACTTGAGCCTGACGTAGCCTGGCCCCAATGCCCGCAGTGCCACGCCAAGTCCTGAGGAGGTGCAGAGCTGGGCCCAGTCTTTTGACAAGCTGATGCACAGCCCGGCGGGACGCAGCGTGTTCCGGGCGTTCCTGCGGACAGAGTACAGTGAGGAGAACATGCTCTTCTGGCTGGCCTGTGAGGAGCTGAAGGCCGAGGCCAACCAGCACGTGGTGGACGAGAAGGCGAGGCTCATCTACGAGGACTACGTGTCCATCCTGTCCCCCAAGGAGGTGCGCCGGACACCACAAGGGGCAGGGAGCCGCCTGCTCCGGGCACTAGGTGGGGAAGGCACCTCCCAAGCCCCCTGACCTCAGTGCCTTGTCCTACAGGTGAGCCTGGACTCCCGTGTGCGGGAGGGCATCAACAAGAAGATGCAGGAGCCGTCCGCACACACGTTTGACGACGCACAGCTGCAGATCTACACACTCATGCACCGGGACTCCTACCCACGCTTTCTCAGCTCTCCCACCTACCGTGCCCTGCTGCTGCAGGGGCCGTCACAGTCCTCCTCCGAGGCCTAGGCCGCCCCCAGCAGCACAGACCCCACCGCCTCCTATGGCCGACTCTGGGTTGCCTTCAGGTGTTGGCTGTCGGGGCACACGCCTGCGGGCCCAGCCTGGCCGGCTGGGGTCCCCACCCGTGGAGACGGTCCTAGACCCAGTGGGGAGTGCTGTGCCTCCTGGCTCTGCCCACCTGTGGCCAAGCAGGAACTCCAGGTGCAGGGTGGGCCAGAAGCCTTCTCATCGGCCCGCAGCTGGCTGGCCCAGTGCTCCTGGTGGGGGCTCTTGCATGGTGAGAGTAGGGGCCCCCCCGGGAGCCATGCTGGACCCAGGAGCCTCGTTGGGGCCTCCTCCCCAGGCAGCTGACGGGCCCCGGACAGGCCTTGGTGGGGGGCAGAACCTCTGCACCATGTAGTTCTAGGACATAAGGAGATCTCCTACTTGAGCTGTCTGTACCCCAGAATCAAACCCAGAACCTCAGAACCAGATGTAGGACCTCAGAATCCTGCACTCAAGGTGGCAGGACCCAATTTCTGTTTTACATGTTCATGAACTTTAAACCTGGAAACATATCCTTACTAGGTGTTTTATCAAAAAAAAAGTTTTCATATTTATCTCTATCCCTAACCCCCCCAAAATAGGATGTCTTATTATTGAAGATATTTTTAAAGCACAAGTCTCTACTCATTTTTGTCCAAGTGTGGGGAGAGACTGGAGAATGAGTGGCCCCAGACTCAGGGCTGGGGAGCAGTGCCCTTGTCCCAGGGCAGGGGCTCCAGTGCCCCTTGGGAGGGGGGAGACAGCCTGTGTGCTCACCTTCTTCCCACGCCCTGGGCTCCACCAGGGCCCGCCTCAGAACAGTGGCCCCAGTGGGTGGCTGTGCTGAACCCTGCCCGGGGCATGAGCTCCTTCGCTGAAAGTGGGCCAGAGCAGTGCAACCCACAGCACCTCAGAAGGCAAGAGGCAACAGGAAGTGCCGCTCGGGCCCAGCTGGATGGGGTCCCCAGAGGCAGGCTGGCTGGGGCAGGAGGGGCTGCTTGGTGCCAGGCACAGTGCCATCTTTGCCATCTCACAGGCCCTGTGAGTTGAGTGCTCACCACCCCATCCCCTACGTTTCTGGGAAGTTAAGTGAGTTGAAGCTGAAATTGGCTCAGGGCCCTGAGACCACAACTCCCACAAGAACAGAGATGGCAGCATGGGGACAAGCTGTCCTGAACTGCCAGGACCCGGGTCCCAAGCTGCCCATGCCCGAGGCAGTGGGGAGGACAGTGCCCTGCACAGGACGACAGGCTGTCAGCACGCACGCAAGACCCTCTCCCCACCTGCCCTCACAGGCAGAGCCACCCCAGGTGATCTCTGAAGGTCAGCCAAGCTCCTCTCCTGGGGCTGACCCACCAGGGCCAAGCCCAAGCACTGCCTGACCTCAGGGAGGGGCCTTGTCCACAGCAGCGCGAACAGGTCAAACATGGGGACAGGGGCCACCAGGAGTAACAGCTGAGGAGAACAAGATGGCAAAAAGAAACATTTAATAACGAGGGGGAAAGGGCAGAAAGGTGCAATCCAGGCAGGCAGGTTGAGGGCAGGACATGCCGCCTTCTAGGGTCTCCAGAGAAGCTGTATCAGCGGAGGACGTGGGCGGGGGAGGCCAGCACTGGCCACGGCCCAAGGCTGCAGCACATCTACACGAGGGCTCAGCAGAACTGCGAAAAAGGGGGTGAGGCCTCCAGCCTTGTGGCCACATGAGACTCCCCAGAGAGAAGGCCGCACAGGCTCACCCAAGGCTGCAGTCTTCACCCACCATGCCCAAGACTCCAGGAGGCTGGCTGGGCAGGGCCATCCCCAGTTCACACCACAGACCCCACAGAGGCTGAGACACCCCACCTCCAGAGAATGGAGTGGAAGGGGCAGCCTGAGCGCGCTCACCCACCTTCCAGCGGTTTCCACACTCGTTGCAGACAACAAAGGTGGTCATGGGTTCATCAGAGCTGCGGGTCTGCACCTGTAAGGAGGGCTGGGTGAGCCTCCATGCTCTGCCGCAGGGAGTGTCCCCTCAACATGGGCAGAGCTGGCCTTGCAGCCGCTGAGCTCCCATAGGTGACCTGATCTGAGGCCGCCTTGTGACTCCAACCTTCCAGAGCTGAGCCTCCGGGGGAGGGAGACAGTGTCTACTGGGGCAGAGGCCCTTGCGTGGGCTTGAAGCAGCTCACATTGGCTGGGGACCAGCAGGGCCCAGACTTGGCTAGGCAGGAGGGTCCCAATGGTGGGGGGAACTAGCGGGGGTCCGCAGTGCCCGTGGCTGCCTTCTGGAAGGCCCAAGGGTGAGCCTCAGGCCACAGGCAGAGCCTGTTCCGACCAGAGGCTGGGAGCAGGAGAGAGGCAGGCTCTGCACAGACCCAGGCCCCATGCAGCCTTTGAGGGGAAGGAAGGGCTGTCCTTGCAGCCCCTCACGAGTCCCATCTGCCAGGCGCAGCGGCCGCCTCAACACACTCCCCCCTTTTTTTTTTTTTTTTGAGACAGAGTCTTGCTCTGTTGCCCAGGCTGGAGTGCAGTGGCGCGATCTTGGCTCACTGTGCAACCTCCACCTACCGGGTTCAAATGACTCTCCTGCCTCAGCCTCCTGAGTAGCTGGGATTACAGGCGTGTGCTACCAGACCCCCGGCTAATTTTTGTATTTTTAGTAGAGATGGGGTTTCACCATGTTGGTCAGGCTGGTTTCGAACTCCTGACCTCATGATCCACCTGCCTCGGCCTCCAAAAGTGCTGGGATTACAGACATGAGTCACCGTGCCCAGCCGCACTCCCCTCTTAACAGGGTCCCTGCCATCTCATGGGATCCACAGTCTCCCCGGCACACTCGTGTCCACCTCCATGGCAGGGACAGAGAGTCCTGCGGTCACTGCCAGGCAGCAGGCGGCACGGCCCTCCCACCAGCATCAATACCTCAAGGGCCCTCCGTGCAGCTGGGCCGGGCGGGCCGGGCCCTCCGACTTGAGCACCCGGAACAAGTGGACCCCACCACCCAAGACGCTGCCTCCTGGGGCCCAGGGTCCTGGGTAGAGGGGAGTGGTCCCTGAAGGTGGCCATCATGCCTTAGCCTAGTCAGGGACAGAGAGGCTCGGAAAACTCACAGCAGAGGCGGGAACAGGTATGGGCTCCTAGGAGGGGCACGGGATGGCCTGAAGACACTGGGCCCGGGGGAGGTGCCCAGAGGCCGCTCACCTGCGTGTAGGTGCAGTTCTTCTTTCTGCACTTGCCGCAGGTGAACAGGTCTGTCTGCGTGCCGCCAGTACGGGCCATCTGGTGCTCTCGGATGGCCTCCTTGGTCATGGCCTTACGGATCTCCTTCAGCTCATCACTGGCCATCTCCTGGAGCACGGGGCCAGTGGCTTAGCCCACCACTCCGAGGGGAGCAGCCCTCCAGCCCCTCCAACAGGGGCTCACCTCTGAGGTCATCACGGCAATCTGCTGGGGTGTTATGGCCCCACACAGCACATTCCGCCGCAGGTCAGGGTTCTTGGCATCCTTCAGGTTGGAGATACGACTCCGTACACGGTTCTTGTACTTCATGTCTGTGTTTCCAACGTCCCGGAAGATGCGTGCAAGTGTTTAAGGACCCACCCGAAGACAACGTCGCTGCCCTCCACCTACCACCTGCCCCGCTGGGGGCCATGCTGGGGTGCTGGCTGGAAAGGTTCTGCCCAGCCACACAGGGGTCGGTCTGCCCACCCACACCTGGTGGACAGGTGAAGGGCTGCAGGGCTGAGCCTGCCACAGGCCCATTCCTGACTGAGACCCAGCTTCAGGCTACAGCCCCAGGGAACCTAGGCCCCACCAGCAGGCAGAATCAGCCTCTCAGCTGGTCTGGGGGCCTCCTGAAGCGAGACAACCTGACTACCCAGGCAGGTGACCCCCCCAGGCAGCTGACCCCCCAGGCAGGTGACCCCCCAGGCAGGTGACCCCCCCAGGCAGGTGACCCCTGGACAGCTGGGCAGTGGTATCCAGCAGCCACCAGAGGCCACCAGGCCAGGCAGCCTCCTGACTCCACCAGAAACCCAGGCCCATAGCCCCTGCCCAAAGGATATATTCCTCGATCTGAGCCGACAGGCGCTGGCAGTCCGCACCGATGGCCACGTGGTCGTCTGCAAGAGGGAGCCCTGACTAGCTGCCCCCACTGGTTTCTCCACCTGCCACCCCTTCTGCCTGCAAATCACCCTGGCAGCTTAGCAGGGACATCCGTGTCCCTGGAAGAGGCCCACGATCCAGGCACAGGCCCCACGCCGCTGCCAGGGCTGCAGCAATGGGCTGGGGGAGGAGAGTCGCCCCTCTAGAAGCAGGCCTCCTCGGGCAGGCAGGGGCCTGGGCCGCCCTGAGAATCCCAGCGGGTGTCAGGAGCCAGGGCCGGCCGCACTCACGGGCCGTCTGCAGGGCAGCAGTCAGCATCTCACGGCACTTGTTGCGTACGGCATCACAGGTGACAGGCACCGGAGGAAATGTGGTGATCCTTGGAGTTGACGGTGCCCTGGGCAGCTCCGGCCTCTTGCGGCTGCAGAGAGCCAGGGCCAGCTAGACTCAGACTCAAGGCTGCACCCCAGCAAGACACTGATCCCAGAAGCAGCAGGTGCCACAGCATAATCCCCCTCCAAACCCTGCTTGCTCCACTCTGCCAGAGTCCAACAGTGGCCAGTGGCCCTGCCTATCTTGAGCCCAGATGTCTATGGGGTGTGCCCAGCAGCCAGGAGGAAATGGGCCGTGAGGTCCCCAGTGGGTCAGGATGTTCCCCAGGTGGGAACAGGATCCCAGACCCAGCAGTCCGCATCTGGGCAGCATCTCCAGTGGATCCGAATGAACCTGGCAGTTCCTGCCACCTCTGGGGTGCCCACCTGCGGGGCCGCAACACAAATACTCTGGTGAGGGCAGCTGCAGCTGCTGCCTGGTCAGGGAGAAGGAGAGACCCACAGCTGCCTGGTGGGGAGAGGGAGAGACCCACAGCTGCCTGGTGGGGAGAGGGAGAGAGACCCAAGCTGCCTGGTGGGGAGACAAGGCAGGGCCACCCAAGGCCAGGTTCTACTGTCACAGATGACCCCGCTAGGCACGTACAGAATGGGACAAGGATGCCCCTCAGGGCTGGACCCCAACATGAGGCTGCCCAACGACCAGGCTGCATCCACCTAGCCCTCCCCACATCCCCCTGTGGAAGTTGACAGAAGCAGGCGGCTTCCTGGAGAAAAATCGACTTGCAAAGGTGTCCCTGAGTTCCTGGTGGCCCCGTCACCACTACCCAGTATGGTCAAGGGCAAAGCCATCTCTCGGCCGTAGGCTGCCACCACAAGCACCCCCAGCTCCCAGCTGCAGGCCACAGAGCCCTCATCGCCCCTGGCAGCAGTGACCACACATGCACATGCAGGGCAGGAGAGGGGAGCTGGGCACCCGCCTTTGGTTCTGGGCAGAATTTTGCAGGAAGGAGGGGCCCTCGTTGAGTGAGGCTGAGGTTCGGGAAGCCAGAGTGGGCCAGCAAGAACCAGACCCAGCAGGGGGTCTTGGGGGAAGAGGCCAGGGGGCTCCCACAGGCCCACTCAGGGTATACGGCAGCTCTTGGCAGAGGAAGAGGCCAAGATGGCTGGCTGACAGCCAGGTGGACACAGACCCGTGTCTCAAGTGGTCAGTGCAGGCAGGACACACCACGAGGCCAGTGTCCAGCATGAGGTTGACCGACTCTGTGTGCGGCCTCAAAGCAGTGCCTAGGCACACGGAGATTAGCACCCTTTCTCTGGCAAGGAAACAGGCTGGGAAGCAGAAGTGTGTGCACCTGCCTTCCAGGTGTACTACCTGGGATCCGGGGCCTCTGAGGCATCCCTCGAGGACGTGGGCAGAGGCGTGCCCCTCGCCCGCTCCCTGGCTTTGGCATCTGAAGCATCTGCAGTTGAGGAAAGATCAGGGATGGGCGGATCAGGAGAAGGCAGAGGAGGGACGGGCGCAGACCACCACCAAGGTGCAGCCTCAGCCCAGCCACCAACCCTCCCAGCCCCAGCCCCCAGCTCCCCACCCAGCCAGAGGAGCCACGGGCCAGGAAGGCGCCCAGCCTCAGTGAACAGGCCCTCACCCTCCCCAGCAACCTGTCCGTCTCTGCAGTCCCAAGGCTACCTCCCCAGAACACTTTCCGATACAAGCACCCACTCACAAAGGCCACCTCTGGGGCCTACCCTCCTGCCTGTCCTGGCGGGAGAGACCAAGTATGTCCCCAGCAAAGCTCTTCCTGAAATCCCAGAGCCAGGCCCAAGGGCTGGGGATGAGGACATGCTTGTGCTGTGTACGGCCTGAGGGTCACACAGGGCTAGAGAGAGACTGTTTCACAAGGGTGTGGACAGAGCTAGGAGGGCTGCCTCCATCCCGGATAGCGGCATCTTTGCAACCCCAGTCACCCCATTGTCTCCAGGAAGAGGCAGCCTTCAGTCCAGCCCAGCCCTTCCCTTCCCTTCCCTTCCCTCCCCTGGCAGGGGGCTGCCCCTCCGTTCCCTCTGAGTAGCTGAGGCAGCCCCAACTTCTCCCTCTCCCTTCCCCTCTCCTGACACTTCCCAGCCTCCTGGCCATGACCTTCCCCTCTGTGTGACCTCCCAGCTCACCCCAGACTCGTAGTGCTGTCAACTCAAGTCCTGGCCTCAACGCTCCTCTCTCCTTGTTCTACCGGGAACCCTGCCCCCAGCACACACCCTTGCCTCCTAGGCCACCCCTCCCAGCCAATGCTGACAGGCACCCACTGATCCACTGCCAGCCCCAAGCTGGGTGCTTCATGGTCTGGGGTTGCCACTGCCCCACTCCCAGGTGACCTGGCTCAGGGTGGGCACTGCCAAGACCCTACACTGTGCTGACCAGCCAGAGGCAGCACTTCTCGGGGCCCTGGTCCCAGCACTCGGTGGGCACTGCCCAAGCCGCACCCAGGAGCTTCTTCCAGGACTTGATGAGGGACTTGGCCAGTGCAATGACCTCCTCGTCGGAGCTCTGCTTCCGAAGGGCGTTGACAGACATCCCGACTCGGGTGGACTACAAGGCAAGTGGTCTGAGTCGGGTGGAGGCAGGGGCCCACCCTAGGGGTCAGATCCTCCTGGCAGACCCTTGGTGGCTCCCACAGGACAGGAGCCCAGGACCTGCCAAGGAGGTAGATGCCTCTCCCAATATCCTCAGACTCCCTTCCCTGTCCCACTGAGCCCAGAGAAAGGCAGAGACCCTCTCCTCAGGAACAGGCATTTGTGCCAACTAAGGCCCGGTGGGGAGGGTGGGGAAGCCCTGCCAGGTGCCCTCAGAACTGCCATCTCCTGGGCTGTCCCCAGGAGCTGTCCCGGACCTGGGGCAGGCAGGGACCTACCTGGAGCAGGTGCAGCGTGATAGGCATGGCCTTCAGCTCCCGCAGCAGATCCATGGCCCCCTCCTGGAAGGAGAAGGAGGACCTTCATAAAGGACTTTAGATCTCAACGGACATATCACCTCCTTCTGCCTACTGGAGGGGAACACAAGGCAGTGACAATTTGGAGATTCAACCTGGGGTCAAAAAGAAACCAAAATTCCTCTACCTGGAGACACCCAGGGCTGTTCCTGCACCACAGCAGGGAGCCCTTACTGCTCAGTCAAGAAGGGGAGGGGATCTGCAGCCTCAAGCATTCCAGGTTGTAACCCACATCCGTGGCAATGACCTCACTGACTTCACTGTAACCACCTCAGGTCACTGACCCAAACCAGAACAGAAATGCCAGCTCCCCTGGCAAATCAGGAGGCTTCAGAGCCATGGACCCTCCCCAGCAGCCAGGGCCACACCCAGGTGAAGGTGCAGCGCCAGGTTCATTCACTCCCCCGCGCGTTCATGCCCTGATGTGCAGGGCAGCCTCTCCCCAAAGCAGGCACCCCCCACCAGCTGTGAAGGAGGCCAAACTTTCAGGCACAGCCACAGCCAACACCTACAAGACCCACAGCCCCCTCATCTATCCTCCAGGCCTCTGAGTTGCCCCCAAGCAGGCGAGCACCCCTCGCCTGGACAGTTGCAACGCACCCGTTCTCTCTGCCTTGTCTCCCCACCCAAGATCTGCGTTTCCTCCAGGTCCTCACACACTGAGGCCAGGCACAAACCGGCCACTTTTCCACACCAGGTACAGCTCCTCAGTGCTCCCCAAGGGCCCTGAGCCACCACTGAGGCCCTCTGCACCTGCAGCTCCACTGCCTGGGGCAGCCTCCCAGGACATCTTCCTCCCTCCCTACCAGGCCTTATTTAAACAACACCTTCTCAGCAAGGCCTCTCCTATCTAAAACTGCAACTGCGCCCTGCAACACCCCCACCTCCTCTGTAACACGTGCATGTGTTTCCACGTGTGTATCATTCCCTCTGCCCTAAGGTGACCTGATCAGATGTCCCACGACCCAGACCCCGCACAACCCCAGCAATCTGGGTGGCATGTCTGCTCACGCTGCAGCCCCTCTTAAACCCTCCCAGGCCGGCCCTGCCCCTTGGGCTGTACAGAGTCCAGCCTTGAGGCGACAGCCAGAGCCAAGGGCACTGGTTCCCTGAAAGCCCTGCACCAGCTTACGTGGCTCTCAGTGGGCTCAGGACCAGAGGTATAAAATCCCCCAAACCTGGCCCCCAAGTCCCCGAGGGGACCTCAGGCACTGGGACCCCCAGGAGCCCCACTGCACAGTGCCCTCCTCCCCTCCTCATTCTCCCCTGGGGCTTCTACTCAAGCTGTTCTTCCACCAGAAACCCCCCATCAGTTCTGCTAGCCCCACCCAGCCCTCCCCTGGCTCCATGACCCACCTTTGCTTTTCCCACCTACAGCTTTTATCGTTTGTGTTTTGTCTCCTTTAAGAAGGGATACAACTCCATTCTCGGGTCATCTCTGGAAACAGCTATGGATGGTTCACAGACCCCTACTTTGTGCTGACCAGTTTTCCAGGGGTGTGTGTGAACGCAATGATGAGGTGCTGCACCCAGCAGGAATGAGTGGGAGCCCACCCCTTCCCAGTGCAGACCCCAGTCCAGAACCCTGATCACAGGAACCCAGACTCAACCCGGCTCAGCCCAAAAAGCATCCCCCAAACCCCTATTGCAGTCACACAGCCCTGGGGTGGCTGCACAAATCACCCAAAGCCTATGACTCAGCCACCTTCGCCGCCCTGGGCTGGCCTGGCAGACACACAGCTGGCCCTGCCCCAGGAGTTCACAGTCTGGATGGGAAAGCGCAGGTCACGTTTACGGAGCCTGCCAGGAGTTCCACATGACCTGCGGCCAGACCCCTCCCCGTTCCCCAGGAGGCAGGCAGCATCAGCTAAAGATGCTTCTGTGGGAGGGTGCAGAGGTTGCCAAGGTCATGTCCAGAACTGGACCCCCACTGGCCTGGCCCCTTCAAAGGCCTTACACACAGCCTCCTCCAAAGTCTTGCTGTGGCCGCAAGACAACAGAGGCCCAGGCCGCAGTGAACAGAGCTGGCCAGAGGCTCCAGCGCCCAGAGGCTCCCAGAGGAGGCTTGCCCCATCTCCCGGGTCTTATATAAGCACACTGGCTCTTTTCGGAGGGTGTCCACATAACTACCCACAACCCAAGTTACTGCGGGCTAAGTCCTGGCTAAAGAAGGGAGAGAATTTATTAGAGAAACCTGGTTCTTGTGGGGTGGGGACAGACAGGGAAGAAAATGGGCCCCACAGGCAAGACAGGTATCTGGCTGGCCGTGAAGGAGGATGACAAGGGCCAGGAAGAGGCAGGGGGAGGCACGGCAGCTCCAGAAGAAAAAGGGATCCAACCTCAGACTCCAAACTGTTGCTGGCGACAAATGCTATGGGAGACGGAGCGTGACAAATGCTATAAGAGACGGAGCGTGGGAGAGGGCTGAGTTGGGGGCGGGGCTCGGCCCGTGAGGATGCCCAGGCCGGGATGGAGGACGGCAAGGGGCTGGGGCGGCCGCAAAGGAGGCCCGAACACCCCGGAGGCTCCCAGAGGCGGGACGGGGCCAAGGAAGGAGTCGACGGGCCAGGCTGGGGGTCTGGAGTTAAGGGACAGGGAAGGGTGCGGAGCCTGTGACTGCGGGCGAGGGGGCTTCTGAGTCCAGAGCGGGTGGCTCTCCCGGGACAAGGTCCAGGCCCGATCGCGGCCTCTGCCGGGGTTGCGGGGGTGAACGGCAGGGCTGGCTCGGGGCAGGGGTCTCGGCCACGGGTGGGGGTCTCCCCTGCGTCCCGGAAGTCTCTGCCGGGGAGGGGTCTCGTCCTGCCCCTCAGGTCGTCTTCCGGCCCTAACGGGGTCGGCGGGCTCGACGGGGTCTCGGCGGGGCGGGGTTCCCGGGGTCCTGGCGGCCCGCGCCCCTCACCGCGCTCTTCTTGGTCACCATCTTGTCCAGCCTCCGGGCGATCCGCGTAATCTCCTCCTCCTTGCCCATCATCGCCTCAGGAGCAGCGACCCCCGCACCCGTCGCGCCCGCCTCCGCAGCCGGGCTGGGACCCCGGCCCCGGTCGTCGCCACCTCCCGCACCCGCCGCAGCCGACGCAGCCCCGCCGCGGACGGCGGACCCTCGGTTCAAACCCTCGGCCCCGCGGCCGCGCGCGGCATCCTAGGACGCGTAGTCCACGCGCCCGCCTGCCCCGCCCGCCGCGCCCGCGCCCGCCGCGCTCTGGACTACAACTCCCAGGCGCCACGCGGCGCGCACAGCCTCCTGGGAAGTGTAGTCTTGACCCGCCGCCGCCAGAGACTCGTGGTCCCACTATAACCCGCTCGGGAGGCGCCCCGGGCACGCCCCTCCCGGAGCCCAGACAGCCTGGAGCGACCCGGGCCCAGGAGGCCCGGGAATCCGCTCCTTTCTCTCCTCCTGCTTCGCGCCTTGCTGTGCCCCAGCGTCCTTCAGTGGATGGCTCAGGACCCAACGCCCTCAGCCCTGCCCCGCTGGGCCCTGCGCGCTCCCCCCTTGGCCTGGAGGGCCGTCCCCAGCCTCCCAGAGCCGAGTTTGGGTCATTCGGACATCTGAGTGGAGATTCTCTCTTCAAGAGGCCCGCGCACACTGGGAGGCCTCTTGTGGGGCCCTGCAGGTGTAAGCGCGGGGTAGCTGGACGTGGCGTCTGGAAGGGGCCACTGCTGGGGTTCGCGAGTTGCGGGGGGCCTCTGCCTCCCAAGTCAGCTACCAGGGAGCAGATTGTGGGCTCTGCACGTTGACCGCTCTGTATCTCAGTCTCCCCACTTGTGAAGCTGGATTGACGACAGTGGCCGCCTCACAGGGCTCCCGTCAAGATGATGTAAGCTGATTGACATCACATGCCTGAGAACAGAGCAGCGGATGGAGCATGACTATTAGTATTCATTGCCCTTGTTGTTGGAGGTCCCTAGGTAGGGTCAGACTGCAGGCAGCCAGAGAGATGGCCCAGGCCTAGGGAGGGTTGAGGAGGAGGACAGGTGCGGGGCCAGCATCCCCACCAATGCCTGCCAGCTCCTCAGTAATGCAGATGCTGGGTGGTTTGCTGGAGAGGGCACAATCCTGGGGGAGGGTGTGGACCAAGGAGCCGCTGTCTTTAGTGTTGTGGATCCTATATTCATTCAAGTTCAGGCCAAGGAACTATGAGGCCAGGTGGCCGGTGGAATGGGCTGAGCGTTCCTTGGGCTGTCTGTGGCACTAATCAGATATAACTGAGCTTCCCAGCAGCCAAAATGAAAAAGAAAATACGGTCAGTTAAGAGACTCAGCTTGGCCGGGCACAGTGGCTCATGCCTGTAATCCCAGCGCTTTGGGAGGCCGAGGCAGGTGGATCACCTGAGGTCAGGAGTTCAAGACCAGCCTGGCCTACATGGTGAAACCCCTTCTGTACCAAGATTACAAAAATTAGCCAGGTGTGGTGCCAGGCGCCTATAATCTCAGCTACTTAGGAGGCTGAGGCAGGAGAATTGCTGGAACCCGGAAGGCAGAGGTTGCAGTGAGCCAAGATAGCACCATTGTACTCCAGCCCTGGCCGACAACAGCGAGACTCTGTCTCAAAAGAAAAAGAGAGCGAAAGAGACTCATCTTGGCCAGGTACAGTGGCTCACCCCTGTAATCCCAGCACTTTGGGAGGCTGAAGTGGGCGGATTATCTGAGGTCAGGAGTTCCAGAAGAGCCTGGCCAACATGGCGAAACCCTGTCTCTGCTAAAAGTACAAAAATTAGCCGGGTGTGGTAGCACATGCCTGTAATCCCAGCTACTTGTGAGGCTGAGGCAGGAGAATCGCTTGAACCCAGGAGGTGGAGGTTGCAGTGAGCCCAGATTGTGCCACTGCACTCCAGCCTGGGTGACAGACTGAGACTCTGTCGCAAAAAAAAAAGACTCAGGCCAGGCACGGTGGCTCGTGCCTGTAATCCTAGCACTTTGGGAGGTGGACTGCCTGAGCTCAGGAGTTTGAGACCAGCCTGGGCAACATGGTGAAACCCCGTCTCTACTAAAATACCAAAAAAAAAAAAAAAAAAAAATAGCCAGGCATGGCGGCATGTGCCTGTAGTCCCAACTACTCAGGAGGCTGAGGCAGGAGAATTGCTTGAATCTGGGAAGCAAAGGTTGCAGTGAGCCGAGATCATGCCACTGCACTCCAGCCTGGCAACAGAGTCAGACTCCATCGAAAAAAAAAAAAAAACCTCAATCATAAGGAAAAAGCATAGAATTCCTTGTGAGGAGCAAAGCCTTTCTGAGATAGAGGCCCTGTGATATTATATGATTATATTATTATTAATAGATAGCCCCGAACTCTGACATGCTCCAGTCCTGCGTGGCATACTGACTGATTCTGTCCTCACTGAGCTAGGGCCATAGCTTCCAGCCTAGAACATCCAAGCAAGTCCTCGTGGCAAGAATTCCATGGTTTGGGCATATAGGAAGACTTGAAGGGTCCAGCCTCATCAGAGGCACACGAGAGGAGGCTGGAGCCACCCACCCTTCAGCCACCCTCTCAATGGCTGGCAACCAGACGAAGGAGCTGGCCAGGGTCCTGTAGAAGCCGCACTGGAACTGCCCTTGTGCAGGAACCAGCGGCAACCCCAGAAATCGTGGCTTCAGAGGTCCGGGTGGCCAGGGTTTCAAAGCTGTTCCCACCATCCATGAAGACACTGGACACATCCATGGCCTGGCCTGCCTGGCCAGACACACAGGCTTCTCCAACAGCCGAGAGTGAGTTGATTTGAAGACCAACGGAAGGAAGCCAGCCCTCAAGCTGGGGGTGGGGGAGACCTCCAAGTATCAGGACTGCAGATCCTGAGATGCTGGCAAGGGCTAGAGCACAGAGAGGCCCCTCCTGGGCAGGAGGTGCAGCCCAGACAGCACGGAGGAGAACTGACCCCAGATAGCTGCAAGTTCCTAAGAGTGGAGGCAGAAAGGAGAGAGGGGCAAGCCCAGTCCTGGTTGAAGTGTTGGTGGGGTGCAAGGTGTCTCAACAATCCAGGGAGTCAAGAGACCAAACCCCTGACAGAAAATAAACTGGTGGGAAGAAACCATTACTTGTGAGGCTGAGGCAGGAGAATTGCTTGAATCTGGGAAGCAAAGGTTGCAGTGAGCCGAGATCATGCCACTGCACTCCAGCCTGGCAACAGAGTCAGACTCCATCGAAAAAAAAAAAAAAACCTCAATCATAAGGAAAAAGCATAGAATTCCTTGTGAGGAGCAAAGCCTTTCTGAGATAGAGGCCCTGTGATATTATAGGCCCGGGAATCCGCTCCTTTCTCTCCTCCTGCTTC